AAGTCGTCGTCCTAAAAGATAAAAAGTTTAGAACATGTTTGATTCACTTTGCAGTTTGTGACTTTAAAAACTGTTTTCTGAAATAATTTTATCCTTCTCACCAGTTAATTTCTCACTCAAAATCAATAAAAAATTTTAGAAAAATGTTTACAAAATAAATATTTTAAAAAGCAAAGAACTCAAAGATACAATCATTTTTTTTTTGTATTAAAGATGGAATCATTTGTTGCTAGTCCACAGTGATTCCGTTTTGAAGTGCAGTGAATTTCATAAACTCACGTCAGCAATACGAATACAATTTATCAGCGGCTTCAACGGAGAAGAGAATAGTGAACTAGAACAAAGAAGCAAACATTTTTTTATTTTATTTTTTATTTTATAAAATTAAAAGCTATTTTTAGAAAGAATGATCAAACAATATTTAAAAAAAAAACTAATATATCGTGTTAAAAAGACCAATATAATTTAGGATAAAGATGCAGGGAGAGGGACGGATCCATAAAAGTGCTGCAATTTTTTTCTTGATATGTAATTATTTAAATATCTATCTGCTAATAAATAATTATTTAACAGATAATAATTTTATAAAATATTTACCGTAATTTTTTATTTTCAATGATTAAAAAGATGTATGTTTCATTTTTTTTGCAAAAGTTTGTTGTTAAAATTTTTACATTTTATAACTTATACTAAGTTTTGTGTTTCAAGCTTTAACAGATTCTTCAATTTAACAAATACATCAACTATCTAACAAGATTTACAATAATAATAGTCTCATAATCAAGAAGAAAAACAAACTCGTCAAAAATAAAATAACTGAAAATCATCAAATATTATAATAATGATATATAATAATATAAATGTTTATAATATAATAAATAATAATAATAATAATAATATATACACCGTATATAAATATATTTCTTATAACATACTGTAAAATTCCTTCCTCACACTGTTTCGCAGTAGAAAACAAACAATTACTAAAAAAAATGAAATAAGTACTCACGTAGAAGTTTTTTGTAATACCTAACGTTAACATTTTGAATGTACTAGTACATTCTCTTTTACAAATACAACAAAAAAAAATGCATAAAACTTCATCACAGAAGTCATTTTATTAATTAATTTTTTCTACAAAATTAATTAATAAATGCAAAAAAAATAAAATAAAAATGAGAGTAATATACTAGTAGACCTTTTAACGATTAAGTTAAATTCTATAGTAAACAGATACAAACGGTTAATAAAGGATATTGGATGTTAGACATTAATTGAAACGGCCATAAAGACTTCATAATTAGCGAAATTAAGCAGCTATTTAGAATAATTCTACAACATCTGTTGCGAAGTTTCATTACATGTGAGCTAATGACAGTTCTAGAGTTACCCCCGTGCATGCCTCCAAGGTTCTTCAAAACTTGATGCAATATTGCAATTATAAATTTATAAGTGAAAGCTACCCAAGATATAAGGATTTTGCTTTTAAATCAAGATAAAAACATGCTCATCAGCATGTAAAGAAAATAAATACCAAGACATTACCATATGCACTATCTAAATAACTTTCATTTATGCTTGCACTGTTGCTGCTACAGCTAGGCTCCTCCATTGATTTTGATGTCTGCACTAGTGAAGAGTGATTGAGTGCTTGTAGTAGTATATGGTTCTAGTAGTATAGGATTCATTTCAATTCAAACTTAAAAAACATGCAAATAAGAATAACTTGATAGAAATGAAAGTCGTTTCTGTAGTTGATATGCGGATCATATTAAACAAATCCCCAAAATATTAGTAACTAGAGGATAATGTGTGCCCCCTCATCCCCCTTCCCAACCAATACCCTATAACATATTCCCTTGACTAACTGATGGAAGAAAGTTACCAACAAGGATAATACACTAGTATTTAATACTTCAAAATTGGAACAAAATCCACAATAGATGAAACTGACCTGCAGTTGCTGATTCATGTTAAGCATCATGTTATCACTTGACAAACAATCAACATGCGTGCTGTCCAATTTATTACTAATCTTTTTGTTGTTAAAGCTTCTGTCTTTTTCCTTACCAGAGTCTGAAATTTGTCTTCCAAACTAGATCTTAAACTAGCAGAAAACCCTTCTGTCATCAGAGAGCATTGAGCCGGCCGGGTTAATTCTAGATGTCAATTCTTGCAGCTTTTTCTCCAAAAGGACACTTAAAGCATCACCATCTATTACATGTAACCTGGGAGAAGATAGTGATGAATTTTTAGGATAAAGCTTATCACTATGACTACAAGAATTTACATCAATTTTGTTCCTTGTTCTCATCATTTGTTCAGAAGAGGACTGTGAATCTGGCATGTTTCTTCTCAAGGGAGATGTAAATGTAAATGATATCACACCATAGCTTCCTTTCATGCTAAATGCATCCTGGTCAATACTTCCATCAGTTGTAATATTGCTTTTTATGGACTTGTTTTCATAATTATTAGTTGCATCATTAGAACATCTAGCTTCACTGTGAACATCCTTATTTTTATAGTTTTTCTTTTGGAAACTAGATACTCCTTTGGAGTATCAATTACCCTCGTGCCTGACCGTTTGGACTCAATGTTGGCATTCACAATACCCTTATTTGTAGTCTTCCTTGCGCCAGTAGAACTCACTGAAGACCAAGTTTGAGTTGACTTATTCGAGTCCACCTTTGAAGCTGAATTACCTTTGTTGGTTACACTATACTGCTTTTGATTATTCTTCTCAAGCACATTGCTATTCTGACTTGTACAAGTCCTCTGCTGCATGACCTTGGCTATCAGATAAATCACGCCTTGTTTTTTTGGAAGCAAATCTTTATCAATATCTTAGGATATTCATTTTTTAGCATGATTTTTTAATTTAAGGATTTCTTAATTAACATCTTGAAGACAACGATATATAAGAGTATAAGACTCTTTTTATAAAAATAAGAAACAAATTATTATTTATAAAAACAGGGAAGCCGTTTGTTTATCATAAATTTGTAAAATATTTTTCTTATATTATTGGTATTTTTAATCATATTGTTGATATAAAATATACAATAATTTTGTCAGTAACGGATCTTTGTAAAAAAAAATTTTTTTGACATCATTAAACATATATAAAAATCACTTTGTTAAAAAAAAAGTTAAAATTCACATCAATAATCAATAATTTATACATTTCAAAAGAAATTAATTTTTAATTTTAAAAAAATACTCATAAACTTATTATCATTTAACCATCCGTTTAATTTATTCACGGGTTGGTTCTTTAGTAAATGATTCAGGTATGTTTGGAGAATACATTATTTCCCAAAAATTTAAATTTTAAATTCTTATAAAACTATTAAAAACAATTTTCTAAAATAATTTAATTGAAACGCTATTTTTATATAAGTTTTGAAATAAACAGAAATTAAGCAAAATAGAAGTTAGGTGTTCACAAAAATTCTCAATTCTCATTCCTTACAAAATAATAATAAAACTTGTAAACGTGAAGAAGACAGTCATAATCTGACTTAAGACATTTTTTACATCAACTTAGCTAAGCCAATTTAAAGAATACAGAATTTTTAAAAACAAAAGAAATGTTAAAAATATATTTTATGATATACCAAGAAAGTATAGTCAGTTGGTTGAAAATTGAAATTTGCGTGAGTGTCGTAAATTGTTTTTGTACTGAGTTCAATTCTCATAAATAAATAAATAATATATCAAGTTGATACTGATTGTGGGGGTTTAAGGTTTTCAAAGTAACAAATTAATTGGTAGTAAAATTGTTATCTGAAGATGTAGCAAATACTTGAATAGGTTGTTCTTATTTTGTTTCCTTGTCGCTCCGAGGATCAATTAAAATTAATTAATGATCTTAACGTGAGTGCATGTGAGACGAGTCGGTAGTACTCCAGCTGTTTGTATGAGTAGCAACTACTAACTAGTACGTAGCATAATTCAAATCGGACACCGAGGATGTATTTAGATACCAATTTAAATTCATATTAAAAAAAAACACATTCTAAAGTAGAAAACAAAAATTTGTGAATGTATTTTTTTTTCAACCCTGTTGAATTAAACGTAATTATTTTTAAACACATTCTAAGGCACGATTATGAGCTGACTCCTCTATAATATTTACTTATTTATTAATCATACCTTATATTTAATGAATTTGTCATCCTTCTGTGACTCCTACCTGATTTTAGTATGACGCGTATATATTGTTATTAAATAATGATTAACTTTTGGGGCTGTAAATGCAAAACATTAATAATTATATTTTTATTCATAATACATACACGTGAGTTACATAAAATACAATTTAATGATCATCAACTGATCATCAAACTTCAGGTGAGTTGCTAATTTGTAATGTAAGACAAAAGTAACTGGATGAAAAATTTAACCACGAAAATTTATTATTATATATTAAATAATAAAAATATAAATTAAAAAACTTAAGACGTTGGATCATGATTGTAGGGCCCTCTGGTTACTTTTTAACGGCAAGGGAATTCAAGTCCATTTATAATAGCTATTGTGATGAATAAATAATGTTCGTCTTATTGTGTATGTATTATTCGTTTTAATGTGTCTTTAATGTGTATGGATATTGTCTGGTGAATATGTATAACTTCATCGGTCTCTTTATTAATGTTTTCTTAAAAGAATCCCATTTTAACTGAGAAAATATTTCAAGTTCTTAAAAAAATTGAAGCTTCAAAATGGACAGCTGTTTCCGGGTGAAGCTGTATCCATTTCTTGTACTTCAAGCACCTATGTGTGTTTGGTTTATCATTACGAAATTGTTTAACAGATCTTCACTGAATACGCAAAACGTAAAATTAACTCTTGTCCCATTGCACTGAACGTAAGTTAACTTTAACTAACTCATTCACATACACACCCCAAGAAGGAACCAATGGTGACTCTAGCTAGACCAACAATATGGCCTGGAAAGAATTTATGGAACGCCATTTCCGGTTTATCAGGATAAGAATTGTGTTTTAATTTAATTATTTTTGCTTGTTCCTTCATTTTTTTTCCTTCAAAATTTTGGTACATCCTGGAAAGATATTTTTCTTTTATGTAGGTCTGAAAAAAAAAAAAAATAGTTACCTAGGACGTAGTAAGAGACTTTGACCTTTCAACGGGTAAGCCATTAAGATAAAATCTAAAGGGCAAAAACGCCAAAGGCACTGCTCCTCGGAGTTGGTTAGAGTATACCAGACTTGACATTGATCGTGCAACAACTCATAATGCCGTCTTGAGACAATTATCACAGGGGCTAGCTCCGTACTTGCAGACCTTTCTGTCAAAAGATTCTCCAAAGTGTTTGAGTAATGTTTGCCTCCGGCATTCAACCTACCCATCCAAAACAAAGATCAAATATTTAAATCTTGTGGATAAACGCCTTTCTGCACCAGGAGCCAGTTTGTTTAAACCTTAAAAACAGGGGTGAACAATTTATGGATGATTTTTAATTTTTATGCAAAAAATTATATCAAAAACTCTTTATTTTGTTAACCCCATTTTTAAAGGTATTAAACTGACTCTAGATGTGAGAGGAAAAAAATACATGTTGAAATGTAAAGGAGCATGATTACCTTTATTTCACAGTACTGTTGCATCTTTTTGGCTTGAGCCATTGCTGTCTTAAAACTTTCCTTTTTATATCCTTGGCCGTTTCTTATCATGCATACAACTCTACTAAAATCCTTCTTCTGGTATAGAGCAATGCAAACTGCAGGAAGATTATCCCTTCCAGCCCTTCCAGATTCTTGATAATAGCTCTCGATTGATTTTGACATTGTATTGTGGATGACAAAGCGCTGAAAACAAGACAAAAAGGGGAAATTTAGTAACAAAATATGTAAATCTAAGATACAAGTAAGAAAAAAATTCGGTTAGAACTAATCCCTATACTTACAGGTGGGCTATATTTGCCCTAGCCAAGCATACAAATGCAACATTTAAGTTTATAAGACAGGTTCGATAAATGGTGCTCATAGATTTTGGGTTTAACCTTTCAACTTGCACTCGGGCAGGATAGATAAGATTATAAGATGATCACTAGCAATTTGAATAATTTTAGGATTTAGCATTTTAATTTTAAACATATTTAAGCAATCAAGAAAAAAAGGATTGGAATAAAACTTCCTACATAAAATTAAGAGTTTGAGATGAAGGTTTTTGATGATGCTGTGATAGAAAAATGCTTTACAAAAAGGTTGGTCCCAGGCATTTCTTAGTCATCAGACTAGTGATCAATAAGTAGCAAATCAATAATACGCCATTCAGTTTATATATCAACTATCAAGCCACGGAATAATCTACAGAGAAGTATATAATTTCTTTCTTAAAGTGTAGAATTCCTAAACAAAGTTGATCCTAAAATTGCGAATGGATGCCATTATCATAATTTTAAAAAAATAGCTCAACTTACAACATCAGGTTTGTCGATCCCCATTCCAAAGGCAATAGTTGCACATACAATATGAACCTCCCCGTCATGCCATTTCTTTTGAACAGCTACTCTTTGGCGGGCAGCCAAGCCAGCATGGTAATACACCGTCTTGATCTTACATTTCTCATTCAAAAATTTGGAGACCTCAACACATTCATTTTTTGAAAGGCAGTAAACAATTCCACACTGATTCTTGAAGCGATCAATTAGCAACTGTCCAAGTTGCTTTAGTGGCTCCTTTGTCTTACCAATCACTTCATACTTCAAATTTGGTCGGTCAAAGCTTCTTTCAAGAACAAGTGCATGGGGAATTCTTAAAGCATTTAATATGTCCTGAAAAATAAAAAACATGTAAAGGCAAAACAAGGGGGTGATACTAAATAAAACTGTCTATCAAAGTGATTTACTATTATGATTACCTCGCGAACTGCATGGGTTGCAGTGGCAGTCAATGCCATAACAGGTACACCTGGAAAGTGTTGCTTAAGAGATCCCAATCCCCGATAATCAGGCCGGAAATCATGTCCCCATTGGCTGGAAAGCATAATTTTCAATTTAATAGAAATCAATAGTAGATAATTTGATATCTTTTATTAACAACAAAAATCGCATAGCTTTAACTCCATTCCCTGTTAAAGCATCACCTTTGCAACTCTGGCAGTTTAAGTTCTGCTTGCAAATTATGTCTCATTTAAGTGAGGCACGTGATTCTACAAAGGTTACTTGTAATGGAAAATCCCATCTTTTGCATTGGAGATTGGCTGCAAGTTTTAGTGGTAGAAAATGAACAAATATAAATCTCGTGTAAATTCTCTTAGACATTTACTCTTTCAATTAATGAATCTGATTGTGAAAATTGATTGAATGGATCATTATCTTGACTTCTATTGATTGAATTGTGAAATGTGAATTACCATTGAATCTTGATATTGATTGAATAACATTGATACACTGACATCATTGTTGGGATATTGGTTGTGTACTAGCGGAATATGGAGGAACTCAGCTAATTCAGTCTCCCTCAAGGCTCAAGGTGGATGGATTAGGATATCCTTGATCAACTTGTAACTTGGATAAGGAGGGTTTTCGGCTACAGGATAATGGAAACAGTAAACAAATTATCATCAACACGAGATAAAAGACAAACTATCACCTCTTAAAGATAACTTATCAATAAGACTCTTATCTTATCAACAATACCCTTATAAAAAGGGGTGGTAAGTTCACACAGGTGAGCAAGCTAACACTTAAACACCTCAATATCACTCACAGCTAACTTGAGCATCTAATGAAATTGTAGGTACCTTACCCACATTGGAGCAATCTTGGCAAAAGGAAAAGAAGCATTGGAGGAGCTGAGGTGATGAGGAAGGAGATGGGAGGATACAAGTACTTCATCTCTAGGTAAGTACAGGTTGTATTGTGAACATACAAATTGTCTCATTACATTCATTGATTCATTCCATTCATTGATTCATTCCATTCATTGATTCATTCCATTCATTGCACTCCATCAAAGTAGAGGTCATTGTATTTGTATAGACTATAGAGTTGAATATACATTAGAAATTTGCACCAGAATCATAGGTTGTTTATTGCATTTGACGATATCTCATAATTTAACCCAAAAGGAAATTGATCGAGTGATCTAACATTATAAGGGAGTGACAAACACTTTGGAAGTTTTTCAAAAATATTTTATAAGTTTTGAATTGCTCAATTCATCCTTCCCTCTGGAGCACATATATTACTCATTTTCACCAACAGATTTTGTGATCTCACCATATCCAAAGAGAGCTATAACCTACCATAATCAAACTGTCCGTTTTCACTTGATATGTCTTCATAATGGCCACCAAGAGAGCTTAATTTAAAAAGACATTTCCTGGATAATGACACTCCGTTAATTGTTAAATTTTGGGACTTGCTCATATTGTGTGATCAATTAGTCATATATGAGCTCATGTAGCGCAGTTCAGGTTCAAGAATGTTCAATCAATGATAATATTGTGTCAGTTTCATACAATCGTAGTCATTGAAGAAAAAAAAAACAACAACAACAACACAATTATTGGGATTGAACACAAAAAGATCAAGGCATACCTAACACAGTGTGCCTCATCAACAACAAAACCTGCCAGCTGTCCCTGTGATCCAAGAGGGAACACCAACCATATATACTTCAAAATCTATTGCTCTGCCACAATGGTTTTAAAAAAATTGTACTCAAATCAAGAAAAGTTTACCTTCTGATGCATGCATTTTAGAATCTCGAGAAATGATTGGTTGCCAGCAATTCTCTCAGGTGTCACATACAAGAGCTTGCATGATGGTTTGTCTTTTCTGAATACAAAAAAACACAAATGTGATAAATAAATAAATAAACACTAAAGCAATCAGTAAGCTAAAAGATTTTATCAGACAGCACATGATAGATAAGAATAGACAAAAGAAGTGAATTTCACCTTAGCTCTTGGAGGACAGCTGTGGCCTGGGAAGCAGTTTGTTGAGAATTTAAAAAAGTAGCAGGTATTCCAAACTTGAGGTTTAATGTTATTATCTGATCCTGGATGAGTGAAAGTAACGGAGACACAACTACAGTAACACCTGGTTGAAGAGTTGCTGGAAGCTGTAAGCACAAAATAAGGCAAACATGTTCAGCACAAGAAGAATATAAACATCATTCATATTAAGTGGTCAGAAGAAGATGGCTAAAAAAATAAACATACAAAAAACAAAAAAAGGGGCTACAAAAAAGAACTGACCTGATAGCAAAGAGATTTACCACCCCCAGTAGGCATAAGAATAAAAGAATCTTGCTTTGCCAAAGCTACTTTACATGCTTGATGTTGCAACGGTCGAAATGTCCTATTACCAAAGATAACTACGTTTGCCAATTCAATATCATCTAGTGCTTGCAATTCTTCATAAGTGAGAGTAGCGATTTTATCTTTTGATGCAAAGGTGGATTGCATTTTGCTGGACGTTGATGAAACCAAGCCTTGAGGGATGCCACTTCTGTAATCCTACAACATAAATTGATTGTTTCAGTGTAGTCTCTCATCATCATCTCAGTCTTGTATAACAGAAAATGTAGCTAACAAAAATAAATAAAAAAGAAAATATAATAGAACTAAGAATAATCGCAGGAAAAAATTTACCTATTATTATTGTCATCCAAATGATCAACTATTTTAGGACCATGTAATACATCTAGTTAATCGTCTAAGAAAAAAGGGTAGGTGAAAATTCAATATAAATGTTTTGGCAACAGCTTAAGGCCTCATTTAAACATTAGAATATATTGGGTTTGGCTTACATCATTTCCTTATCTTTTAATTTCATTATATTCCAAAACGTTTAACAATCTTTGTGTGCGGTTTTGGCTTTTGAAAGAGCCCAACATTTAAACATTAGAATATATATGCAGATTCATAATAATTTTCTATCAACATAAATCTATTTTTCTCACTTACAAAAACATGATATAGCTTTAATCTTGTTCACAGATATTTGAATTAATCAGACAAATTCCATAAAATAACCCCATCACACTATCATTCCTCTTCCAAATTTTTTATTTCTTCCGCATCAACCTTCCTTCCCTATCCACTTTATTTGTTTAATCCACCGTTATGAACGTCCAAATCCGAATCTCGCATATTCAGCATTCTGTTGAACTTTATGTCAAATATTACAACGTATATTAATTTTCATTTTATTATCCAAAAGGCTCTTACCAGTTACCATTCCAAAACAAACATTAATTAAATTTGACATCACTGTTAAGATTAAAGAAAACAATCTGAACTCGAAGAAATTTTTTAGCCGCAGCGCAATTTGAAGATAACGAGTAAAACAATAAATACTTAAGCAAATAAATAAATAAAAAATTAAAAAACCATAAAATCTAGTTATTGTCTTACCACAGATTTCATGTCCTCATCGTCACTCGAAACCAACTCCACGACATTAGTGTGGTGTTTGCGTCTCTGCGGTAGAGGCGAGTCGTCAACGACGTTAACGAAGCTTCTGGAAGCATCGTCGTTATCCGCATCGGCACACGTGGCAGAAGCTTTGTCGAGCACGTGCGTCAAGGTTCCACACGCTTGCGATTCCATTTCCTGCAGGTCATCCCAATCCTCGGTGGCCTGCATGGACTCCGCCAGAGCCGCGAGGAAATCGTCGCCGCAGTGCTCGACGGTGACGAAATCGCGACCGTCTTCGCCTGAACGGAAGAAAGCAACGCAGGTTAACGGCGTCGCATTGCGCGAGATTTGAAAGGAAACGGAAAAGGTAGCGTACCGTAGAGAGCGATGAGACGGTGGAGACATTTGTTGGCGGAGGATTCGTCGAAGCCGAATTCGAGAGCTAAACTGATTAAGCGAACTTTTTCTAACTCCAGATCTTGTTGCTGCTTCTTCCTGCTACTGCTTCCCATTTCGATTCCCGCGCTTTTTTCTGCTTTCAATTCTACTTTCTCCTTCTGCTTGCTCACAGGTTTAAGAAGGTTGGGTTGGGTTAAACGAAGTCGTATCATTATATTTATGGAAAATGAGAAATCATATATTTGTTTTCTATATTAAAAAAAATGATGCTAATTACGTTCGATGAACACTATTTTAAATATTTTTTTAATACTGTGTAAAGAGAGTATTAGTTAAAATAAATAAATATATCTTAATATTTAAAAATAAATAAAAATCAATATTTTATTTTTTTGGTGTGAGAATTAACATAGTTACGTTGTAAAAAAAAAAAAAAGGAGTATTAAGATAGTTACTAAAATAGTATTACGAGGGGATTTATTTATTTATAAAAAATATATTTAATGTTATTTGTTTATATGTCTAGTATACTCGAACAAAAAAATTGTATATATAGTGTAGGTCCTCACCCTTTATTTGTAGCGAGTAAGTTTCATGCTTTTTTTTATTTTTATTTAGATAAACATTAAAAGTAAGGGATAAAAAATATAAAATATTTAATATAATAAGTTTCAATTTTGAAAGAAAAATGTAACAAAAACAAAAGTTCAGTTTAAAGTTTTTGTAATTTGTATGAAAAAAAAAATACATGACTAAAATTATTCATTTACCATGTATAGGTTGCTTGTAAATTAAATAAAATATACAATTCAATAAAATAATTTTTACATAAATTTTAAAAAAACTATTTTAAATATCGAGAGTATTTTATTGAATATAAATGATGCTATGCTTTTTTTTTTTTTACATTAAAGACGCTTTATATTTTAAAAACTAATTGAATTGTTTGTTTTATTAAGACTTATAATGGTTTCATATGTTAATTTAATCTATAACGGATACATTATGATATTTCTAACAGAATTGGTTAACTCATATAAAAGTAGATAAACTTTACGGACAATTTTTTAAGGATAATTAGTGTTATTTTTTATTTAAATTTTAAATTTTATTTCAATAACAAGTATTTATATTTAATGTATACTGATTAATATACATTAAGTATAGCACCCAAATAAAATTTTACTTTTAATTAAAAAATAACAATATCATATTGACAGTGATATTTTTGAATATATGAACCAATCCAAGTCAAACTCAGTTGTTTTTTAGTCCAACTATCATAAGACATTTCTATACTATAGTTTTTCTTTTTCATTTTTGTGTACATGTGTGTGAGAGAGTATAGAAATATAGGAAATATCAATTGCGACCAAGAAATAAAAAATAATATCAATTTGTTTAAATGAACATGTGCGTCTTGAATCTTAATGTAAAATACAAGAAAAACGTTTGGAATCTCATTACTCCAAACTTCCGATGACACCAACAAATAGTTTGAGGGTGGTATTACAGACTATTTCTCTAGATGTCACCATTGAAAGGGGAAAAAGATATCAAATTTTACAAGATGGAAGTAATCCAAGAAAGAAACAAAAGTTATGTCTAAACCACGACAGGCTCCCTCATGTATCTAAGCTATATTTCATGAGCATGTTTATATACAAGTGTTTTTTTATTTTTGTAGTTTTTCAGTTGTAAAAACTTCTTTATTTTAAATAAAGAAATTCTTAAAAGTTGTATCTAAACATGCTTCATATAAGACTAAGGATGATATCCTATAATTGATTAGTTAAAATTGCCAACCATCTTCTTGCATTTGATCTTGAAACTGTGAAATCCTCTTTGAAGAGAAGACTTGGTCTTGCCTTCGGCTTCGTAAAGCTTGTATTTAGCCACCCTGCGTTTTCTCTTGGAATCATGGTCATCCCACTCCGATTTGCGTGGAGTTGGCATGCTCCCATAACGTTTGTGTTCTTTTTTTGGAGATGGGTCGTTAGAAGAACCATGAAGAGATGTTCTACCCCTGCTCCTCCTATCCACCCTCCTGCTCTTAATTCTAATTTTTTTGTCGGGTATGGTTCTCACTTTCGCACTTCGTGGTTGGATTTGTCTCGTCGCTCCCAAGAATGATGGGGGTACTTCCATCTCTTTCATTTGATACGATAATGATCACCTTTTTGAATCTCAAATCTTGAAATTCTATTCTGTTTTTTTCTTTTTGTTAAATTGTTCTTTTATGTATGCATTGACGTTTAATTACCTCTCTATCTCTCTCTTTATCTGTCTTGCCATCTATTGGTTAGATAGAGAGAGCAAGAGAGGATATTGGAATTCAAGTTTACAGAAATGCTATAAATTATGTTTTATATATGAATTTATTTATTATAGCAAAGAAGTGAGGAGAGGTAAGAGGTGAATGGAGGAACTCATCCGTAGTTGCAATGCGAATAGAAAAAGAAAACTCTAAATTTAGCCAATTTCATCATCCTCAACTATATTTAAGTTTGAGGGAATGTCTAATACGGGAAAGTAAATAACTTTCCCAACAATAGCCAAGCTACTCATAATTAAATGATCATTATTGGTTACCGGTAACTTATAAAACTTTTTAAGTAAAGATTATTATAGACACAAATAGAGTCTATATGAATTATCTATTTAGAGCAGTTTTTGCTAAATTAAATTTAAAATATAAAAAATATTTATGATTCGATTATGCTTTTCTTCATATTTTAATATTCTATTTTCAATTAATGATTAAATATATAATATATAATAAAAGAGAAGATTTCACCTGCTCTAAGGACTACTTATGATAAAATTAAAAATTAAAAATTCTTAATGAATAAATCAAATTTATAAGTTTTTACTTTAAATTATTTGATACTTCATTATAATATTATAAAAATATATTATAACTTAATTTGTATTTGTATTTATATAATGAAACATCAAATAATTTTTAAATTATATAAACAATTATAAATTTGATTTATTTACGAAAAAAAATATTTAATTAAATTGTTAAATTTTAATATAAACTATAAATTATCAAATAAAATAATTTTATCAATAATTATTTTTATATTTAGTGAATCCCTCTCCGTGTTTAAAAATGTATATTGTTTTGAATTTATTTTAAAAATATATATCTTGAACTCTATCTAAATTAAAGAAAAATTAAGAATGAAGCTTACTTTTTATATGTAACTCTTAATTCAAAATTGATGTTAAAATCGATACTATCAAGTATTTAAAACTTACAGTTTATTTAAAACATATATGTTAATTTGAATTAATATAACAAATATTAAATAATTTTCAAATTTTATAGAATTAACCTATTCAATAAAAAACTTGTAATTTAACACGGTTAAAATTCAAATTTAAACAATGAATTAAGTGAAATAATTCTGTCAAAAAGTTAATCCTTAAATAACTTGATTCTCCACCTCCCCTCTAGAATGAAAATAAGAAGTATCTAATAACTTGATTCCTTGAGTAACTTGAGTAACACTGAAAAATCAGAGTTTTCATTGGTAGACAAGTTTAAGACTTCCCCACCTTAGAATGACCCGTGTTTGATTGATTGTGCTTATTTTGGGTTTCATCCTATATAACCGCAATTGCTGCTAGTAAATATAACATGTACAAAATGTCAAACTGTAAAAAAATAATATAAAAAAAATATTGTTTTCTATATAAAAAATGTCATATACACTTTAATTGATTTAAAAAATGGATCTCATTTCAGAATCAATGCTTGCTGGTCTCACTGTCGGTGTCCACAACTTTTGGTACATATTTCTTGGATTTCTTGACGTTTTCCTTGTAGGACACCTGGGGGGCAGTTAAAAAACAGTAAAAATCAACAAGTATGCATGCACATAAGCAGGATACTCTTATGCACGGTAAAAGTTTACCAAGGTTTGAATGCTATGCCCATACCAAAGTCAGGAAACTATTAAAGACAGAAAATGCAAGAATAATAGAAAGGAAAAAAAAAATTGCAATGAAGGGGAGCCTATTTTCCAGGCAGAAAAAATGTAGTCACATACGAGGAAAGACTTCCACTCAGATTTATCAAGTCCTTGACCAGGAAGACGATGGAATATGTGAACAAGTACAACAGCATCCAGAGCAGCATATTCTAGCTGCAAATATAGAATCGCGTTAGACAACTGAATGCCTTGGCTCAAATGTATTGCAGTCACCATAGTTGTTCATGTCTTATCTTACAGCGCTAAATTTCTTAAGAAATAATATATACAGTAAATTTGGAATCATTTCATCCACTATCAGAAAAATAAAACTTTTTGGTATTCAGCGGCCAACATGTATGGTTTGCAAGACGTAGCATGCTAGGAATTGTACAAAAACTAAGTTCCCGAAGCAAATGCCACAAATGCATTATCAGAGAAGTTTTATGAAGATGGAGAGCATTAATGGATAAAAAGAAAGGGGGAGCAATTACTTGATTTGGAGTTAAAGGTCGTTGCTCCCAATTGCTGTTTCGTCTTGTCTTGTTTAAACAAGCTCCTAGTATTTTCTGATTTACCAATAAAAACAACAGTTTTGTCAAAATAAGCTGACATAGAATAACCAAGGGATCTGATAATTATTCCTCTACAAATATCAGAACTACTTGAAAGTTAAAAAGAGACATGAAACACTTAAAGGGACATTAATAGATATAGCACCTCTGTAAGCGCAGCCAGACCACCCCGAGGTTCTTTAAAAATATTCTGTATGTCCAGCAACATTTCATAGTTCTTGAAACATCTCAAGTCTTCATATGAGCGAGCAAGTTGCTTTACATCGCACTGGAAATTATAGCCTGAAAATGAAGTCATAGGGCAGAGTGATAGTTACTTGTTCAGATTTACTAAACAACACCAAATGCTTCATCTGTCTATAAGCATGTTCGCTTACAGTTGTAACTTGTAAGAAGATACTACTTATCAAATTCCATCAATAATAGCACTCTCATTCAGGTTAAAATAATCACATAATAAATGTTAGGGATCAGTCTTGTCCGCAAAAAATATTTTTTTCCTAATATATTCAAAGACTAATGAATTTAGAATTCTCATACCAAGTTTTAGAATTCTAGGTGACAGCAAAATGCGAGTTAGACAGTCATCTAAAATGTCAGGCAC